TGTTCTGATTAATATGTATAAGTGATTAGCTGTGAATAACTAGATATAAAAATTAACTAAATGATTTCATTATATTTATTTATATGTATTCTAATACATTATATATATACTAGTGATAAGTTATAACAACATTTTTATTCAATTACTTTTTTATTAAATTATTATTTTATTATAATACTATTTAACAAATAGAAAAATAAACTAATGATAAATATTAGGTTTTAGTTTTAATATAAATATATTTATAAAATTATAACATAATTTTTTTCATAATATTTTCAAATTTAAATTATATTTAACTAAATGTTATTGTTTTATTTTGATATTATTTTAAAATAATAAAACCAATAAAATAATAATAAATATTAAATAAAATAAATAAAAGTTAATATAATTTATTTTTGATCTTATATATAAAAAGATTAGTTATTTAATATTTTTTAAAAATATTTTTTAATAATAGCATAGGTCAAAGCTCAGGAAATGGTCTATTCAGAAGCATTGAGGGTAGGAGTATTTAGAGAGCATTAGCATTTACTAAACGTTTTGTTTAATGCTTTATCTACCAATCAAATTTTAATGATAAATAATATGATGCTCATTTAAATGCTTTGTCAAGGCCGTAGTACTGCACAATGATATTTCGTCTCTGGCATTATAAATGCTTGGCCCAAATATAGATACCTTACTTTAAATGTCGATATATGATTTACTCGGAGTTTGTGCAAAATAACACATGTTCTTGTTTTTTTGATCAGCTTATTAATCTACAAGGTAGTCTCTAAGATTATTGCAAACCAGCAGAAGCCACTACTTCAGTCTACATCTCGCAAAATCAGGGGCCTTCTTTAGAAGCCGCAACCTTGGTGATAGTGTGTTCCTTGCTAGTTGCTTTGAGCTTATCCGAAAATATGGTCAGTCCTTTTCCCCCAAAAGTGCTATGCTAAAAGTGGACCTCCTTAAGGTTTTCGATACATCAAACTGGGATTTAATCCTGGAAGTTAAATGTATATGTTGAAGAAATCACATGTCAATGTTTAAAATCTTGGGCTGTTCTTGAATCAATGTATATAATTTTACTCCACTCTTCCGAATATTGTTTTTGACTCTTTGGACTACAATGAACTTATCATACCATATCAAGTCTCCTTCAGTTCTGAATGTGAAGTCATTGGCTTTATCAGCAAAGTTTATTTACGGAGTAACTCTTTCCATGAGGT